TTGCCTTCTGCCTATAGGTTGCCTGAACTCACACAAAAGCTGGCGTGGAGGGGGATGGGGCAGTGGGGGGGCATTGCAACTATTGATACATCATTATAAAGAAGTCGCAGTGCTTTTCAATTGTGCCTCTTTAAAGAAACATGCTGCTTTTGCCTTTTTTTTCCCCAGAGGGAGCAAAGATACAATTGTTGGTCTGAGTCCTGCCCCCCAAAGGAGAAGTTCATAAGTGGGCTTTCGAGGTTCCAGGAACCGTTAAAGCCCTTTCGGGTTGAAATGTTTTACATCAAATTTCAATGTAGCAATCCTACTTTTTCTTTATCCTTACAAAAGAGGAAAATGAGGTGAGCTTTAAGTGGGAAGTGTTCTGCCAGAAAAAAAAAATGCCCTTACTTGTTTTCTGTGCTCCTATTCTCAATTCAATAAATCTGTGAATGAGTGAAATGGGATAGGCTCTTAATACATAATACAAATTAATCATATCAATCATCATGCTCCGCTGTACATATCCCAATCATCATTCTATTTAGCACACAACACTAGATTCTCACTCGCCAGCAGCGGATAACCCCCCTGAGGCTAACGCTGAGTCTGTCTTTTCCGAAGCTCTGTCACTATTACAAGGCAGGGCGCCAGGCCCAGTGAGGACTCCGGGGGAGGAGTTGTCCAATTGATAACAGAAAGAATGTCCATCAAATGATCTGTTTTTCCATTCCTAGCCACACGAGAGCACTTTGTCACATAGAATACCATAGTCAGGAGCTGGGGCTCTGGAATCAGACTGTATGGGTTCAAGTTCAACTCTACCACCAACCAGATTGTGACTTTGGGCAAGTCTCTTAGCCTCTTTCAACCTCTGTGACCTCCTTCCTTGACCAAGCAAGAGATGGAAATACACTGACCGTCAGCCCTGACTATGTTATCTCATTATTGTATTGTGATCATGTGTTCATGGCTCTTGACTTTGAACCAAAAAAGGAGAAGCGCCCAAATTCAAAATGGGGTCATCATATGTAAAGCTGCCCGTGAGTCATAGAACGGCTGCCTTCCAGGGAAGCAGACTGCTTGGTATTCTCCCACCCCAAACCACATGCTTCCTAGAGTAGGCCCGGATGACGGTCAGTAGGACAGCAACGCACAGTAGGACAAATAAGACACATGAAAGAGCCACGTATCTGCCAGTGTCTACCTCAGCCTGTGAGACTCTGCTCGGGAATCCTGCAAACACCCCATCCCAAAGCTGTGATAAAACCAAGAGCAGACTCTGACAGCTACTCACTCTTCAATATTTCTGAGCTGGACTTTTTTCTCTTCCGAAATGGGAAAATAGCAAATAATTGACAGGGATAGAATAAGGACTCCATCGCATGTCTTTGGAAGTGCTTTGAGAGAGTTAAAGAGTAGACAAAATCAATGTCATAGCAACGGCCGAAGAACCCTGGACCCAATACATTTGTTAGGCCTTCCTCTTCCATGCCCACTTAAAGGAGCTTCGCTGATTAAAGCACCAACTCCCTGCGAGGGGCCCAGAGTGCTAATATCAAATGAAAGCAGATGTCCTGAGGAAGAGCTGCATGATCAGTAATTTGAGTTGGGGGAAAGATTGATTACCCAAATCATGAATAAACAGAACAGTAAACTCCTGAAAAAAAATAATATACTTTGCTTTTTCTTAATTACCTCTCTG